AGACTAAAAACGTAGGCAATATCCCCCATTATCAAAATATGCTGAGCTCTTTAGTCTTTCAAGGGACTGTGTTCATTTTTTCAATATTACTGTGAAGATTTTAATGAGCTAAAGTGTTTTTGCCCAAAATTCTCCGGCTGGTGGCACGAGTTCCAGAACAGATGCTGACATTTTACATGTAGATGGGTCCTCAATGAAGGAACACTTGATTAAATAGGGGGGTTTAAAAGATTTTAGAAAATTCCATTTTTACCTCCAAAATACCAAATATTTGCTTTATTTTCATTAGTAGCCTAGGGTCTTTTTGTTTCACTATGTCTAAATGTTATAGAGACCTTTAAAATTACTAAACTGTGGACACTTACACATATGTAAAATGCTATCATCTTTCTCTAAATATATACATGATTATAATGAACAAATACAAAATTTAGGAATTTGAAAATAATGAACAGATTTTAACTGGCAGATAGGGACTTATGATTAAAGGGCCAGTTCATACAGCTGCAATTTTATGTAGGTGTGACAGAGTTTAAACAAAAACAGCCTTTTTCTTTGAAAACAAGAGCTATTGCTTCTCAGACTCTAGTCAACGTCTTAATTGTAGGGACAGAAAACCCAGGTGAGCACCTCAAGAATCAGGAGATTAAGGTCCAAGTTGGTGTTCAATTCCTGGCAGCCTGGCACTCCTCTCTTTTCTTGTCTACTTTCATTATTGCTCAGTCCCAATTTAAAGACTCTATAAGGCGATTTACCCGTGCCACTGTAACCTTTACTATTATTTTTCTTTACACTATTTCATGATGGACAAACATATCAAAGGCTAGTAAAATACCAAAAATGTGTCCGATGACAGAAAACTGATGAACTGTTTCTAAAAATCAAATTTAGTGTAGGGGAACAATGTTCAATTCACACCTACAACTGTAATTAAAAGCATTTCCTGTAAGAGACATTGAGATGTAGGTCAGTGATAAATACATTAAATAAAAGAGATATGAAATTACATTATATATGACAAGTTTAAGGTTAAAATTTAATTGATGCTTTTAGCTAAATAATAATATGAAGGCTTAAAGCATATTTGTTCATTGATTTGGGCTATTTACTGAGGGCATCTCTTACCTACACTGTCCAGGAAATCAGGAAGACTCTGTGTACATAAAAGACAATCTGTCTTCCCATTTGGAGCTCATAATTCATCAGAGGAAGACACTGGCCCCTCCCTCCCAAAGAAAGACACTGGCTGTTTCTTATCAAATCTTAGTTAAACCTTATAGGAACCTGGTGAGGAATGACCAATAAAGTATGGCTTTATCTTTTGGGGTCCTAATTAGTGACGGAATTTTTAAACCTTCTCTGATTTTAAAAGTTTTAGTTTTGCTTAGGTTGAACTACTGATACTTTGAGTTAGCTTTTTGTTGCTGACTTCCCTTTCTCATTTGAGAAACCCTCTCTACCCCAAGATCATAGAGTTTTTTTTTCTTCATCTCTATTTTTTAGAAGACATTTTCTTCCAAGTGTTTTTAAAGTTTCCTTTTCATACTTAAAAATTCTATACTTTCGGAACTGACTTCAAACATGGTGTGAGGTAGGGACTCAATTTCTTTAACCCCACCATATATAAATATTTGTCACACAGAGACGCATTTAATAGTACATTTTCCCCTGCTAGGTGTGGAAGAGCCTCCATCACACACCATGATTCCATGCCTGTGAAGAATTAGTTCTGAACTTTATACCAATTGTTTATAGTCTATTTGTCTATCCCTAAGATTCCAACTTTCATTACATAAACTACATGGCATTTATCACGTTATTTGTGATAATCAGGACGCATCTTTTGTTTGCAAATTGTTAAGAAATCAGTAGCTATGACTCATTCATATTTTTCTGTCACATGTATATGTGTGGTGTGTATATGTATGTAGGTTTGGTTACATGTATTGAAGCACCTGTGTGAGTGTGAATACACAGAGGGTGGCTCCTGAAGTAAACACTGATGGTCTTTGTCAATCACTTTCCACTTTACTTTTGAGAGAAAAAAAATCTCCCACTGAACCCAGAGCTCACTAATTCTAGCTAATCTAGACAGCCAGCTTATCCTAGGGATCCCTCATCCCTATCCCTTAAGTACTGGGATTACAAATGACTACTTGTTATACCTGGTTGGTTTTCATGTGGGTATCCAACTATGGTCTTCATGCTTGCATGACAAGTGCTTTTATCCAATGAGCCATCTCTCCAGCCCCATTCATCTTCTTATATCTCACAGCATCTAAATAGGTATTTCTAAACCGCAGGTTCCTCTGCTAAATAAGGGATAAGCTCAGCAACAATGCTGTGGAAGCAGTGCCACAGATACATCCCACTTATGAGTTATTCTCTAAGTAGACTTCATGTGTGTATTATTGCAATCTTCTTACTTTCTGTACTCTTAATGCTATGGCAGCTGGGACCTTGAAAATTAGAGAGGAACTGTCCCTCCTACTGTTTCTTAACTGTAAAAATACCAAACTCCTCACCAGAGAAAGTATGGCTTTTTTCATACGTAAATGAATCAATGTAAGCTAGCTCAAATCCATCTACTCTTGCCTTTCCTACTCCAGGGTCAGGTCCCAGGCAACTAGACAGTCACATGCTCTAGAGTTCACTGAGGTCACTTACAGCAGTCCGCTCACCCTGCCTTGCCTTGCCTTGCTTTCCCCATGGAAAAGACAGCAGAGATTGTTCCCCATATTTTCTTTCTCTGCCTCTTGATTGAACCTGGAAGATTCCCTCTATGGCTCTTATGTCCAGAGACAAATGAAATAAACCTTTCTCCTAATTACTATCATTTTATTTACATGCATTAATATAACTGATTAAACATAGCCCAAGTACGTTTTAGAACAACATTTAAACAGCAAGCGAATATGAAAGTAACCTATTAGCTGGACCCTGACTTCATTCTAAACAACTGATAGTGGGCAGGTGGGAAACAACAACACTTTCTTTTGGTTTCCTGCAGTACTGGTGATCAGTCCCAAGCCTCACACATGCTAGGCAAGTGCTACCTCTGAGCCACATGCCCAAGCCCCATCAGATGACTTTATGTAACCTGAAAACCCAGCTAATAAGAGTTTCCTTTTTTTCCATTTATGCAGAAATTGTTCCCTTAAGAACAGAAAGTTTAGTTCAGAACCGTGATAATCCTTAAGCCTCCTCATATTACAGTTTGTCCTTTCCACAGCTGACAGATGAACTCTTGAACTGTGTGTACTGATTCTCCATGTTAGTATTTCAAAGAACAAAGTATTTGGAGGAGTTAATCGCAGCATGGTGAATCATACAGAGTTACACAGCTCACTACCCTAAGCAGTCAGATGCATACTCTGAAATGGGATCAAGACTAATCTTTCCCAAGGACAAACAAAAGAGGCACTCATCCAATTTTCTTTCCTTTCAATAAAAATAATTATATCTGGTTCATCTTTAAGAACATTCAAGTGAGATTCATCACTAGATCCATAGAACCATCATGGTGAGATCTCATCTATACTAGACCTACACAAGCTGTTTACTTCATAAATGCATTAACAATTCTCCAGTAATTCAAAGGGTTTTACAACTGTAAAATAATTCAGTGGGGAGGGTTAGGGACTGCACAGCATTGGAGGCCAGTTCCACCTCAGGCACTTACTAGTATTTTCCAGTCAGGTGGCATGATTTCTCTGTGTCTTACAAAATAGAAACAGAGAGATTTAGTCTGCTTGCCATACAAAATTAGAATTCTTAAATCCTATATAAGTTCACAGTATTGGCAGAATTTTACCAATACCATTTATGCTCGTTGTATGGCATCTTAATGTTGTAATACAAAGGATTTCAAAAAATAACAGACACTATAGCTAACTTAGGTTTTATATCACAATGAAAATTAAAGTTTACTTGATTAAAAATCATTTAAAATAAAACTTTAGCCTTTATTTTTAGTTTTGAGTGATTTTTAGCATTTAAAATGGGCTTTTATTTCTTATATGCTTCCTGGCTCAAACCCTAAATGCTGGGATTACAGTGGATGCCACCATAACCAGTGAGAATTATTAGATCACTTATTTCTTTAGGTACGCGGTGTGGGTGGTGCGTGTATATGTGTGGGAGTATAGGTGCTTTGTGCATGCGTGAAGAAGCCAGAAGTTGGGTGTCTTCCTATATCAACCTCTACTTTGGTGTTTAAAACTGAGCCTTTTGTTGAGTGGGAAGCTTGCCTTTTCTGCTAGACTGGCTGACCAGCAAGTTCCCAGGGTCCGCCTGTCTCTGCCTGCAATGCTGAAGTTAAAGGTTTGCAGTTATACTCAGATTTTGCTTTTGTGCTTCAGTTAATAACTTCTTTATTCAGGAAAGGCAAGTCAAGATCATATTCATATAAACACTGACATTACAGTTCCACAAATAATAATATCTATTATTATTTTAGTGGGGCTAACATTACAGGATGCTGTAAGAAGATGACAGGTTTGAGCAGACTGGGATCTCATGATGAGGATGCTCTTCTAGACATTAAACTGAGTAGTAGCAGGCCACTGTTGTTCATTTTATAATTATGACCCATTATCACACATATATGTCAAATTTTTACATTATGTGTATCAAATATTTTATAATAATTAAAAATTAAATAAGATAGCCAATCCTCTTGTTCTACAAGTATGGCACATATAAGCTAAAATGGTATTATTTTCTGTCTCCAAAGACCTTGGGATGGGTACCATAACTTCTTAGCATAGGGGACATTAGTCATAAGCAAGGCAGGCTTCCTCTCACATCTGCCTGATTTCAAAATTCATTCCATCCAAGACTCAAAGAATTCACAAGCAATATGAGCAGGTGACCGGAACTGCAACTCCAATGTGGTTGGAAGTGGCATTCCCGCTGCGCTGCTAAGGGGTTCAGGTGTCCAAGGCAGGGAACTCTGGCACCTCCTTTTTGCAGCAGTAATCCTTCTCACACACAATTACCTGTTAAGTTTGAAGCATCAGCAGGACTCAGTTGTAACCAGTGGCGGGCATCAGAGTCTGGCACAGCATCTGTGGGAGTGTTGAGTTCTGGGTCCTCATCACAAGTCTGCCATTGGCTCATGGGTAGCTCTGTCTCATTGTTGGAGCCCAAAGCTGTGTCGCTACCAGTACTTTCACCTGGCACACAGAGCAACCACAGTTTGAGACTGCAGCTATGTGAAGACGAGGTTCAAAGTTATCTCCATGTAAGTAACAACACTTGCACCGCTGACAGGCTGTGCTCAGAGGTTTGGGCAGAACCTGAAGAACTTGGTTGGGGTTCAGTAATGTCCCTGTTGAACACTTATTTAATAAAAATACATCTTCCAAGGACTGGGCATTAAAAGGCTTCATAATGCAGCCATCTTATCAAAGTCTTTCTTCAATTATTCCCTGTGTTTCAAAGCTACACCAAGTCCCAGGTCCTATCAAGATCCACCCACGACATGAGGAGATAAACAGGAGGAACATGGTGGTCACTGACTTCACAGCATTGCAAATTTACTCTGCTATTGCAAACCCAATGTTTAGACGTAAGCCCAGGCTGAATCACACTGGCAGATTCTGGAACGAGGTGTCCTACTACTACAGATCTGCAGCACTGGAAATTTCATCCTTTAAACACTACAAGTGCTCATTTGTCACAAGGTAATCATGCAGAGATTTAAAGACTTACGTGGTTATTTATTTAATTGTGCACAAGACAATCTAGACCATTCTGCTGCTTGACAGCAGAGCTGATTGCCTGACAGTTCTACTCCCTAACAATGCTGACAGCCCCTTAGCTGCACTGTCTCTACTGCTGTCCTCTAGCTATTTGCAAGAACTGAGAATTGTCTTAATAAGCAGATGATCCATCTACTGGGTCTCACAGCACATCCTCCCCAGAGCTACAGGCAACAGAGAGGAAGGCAGTGTGTGGGAGTAGCTGCAGTACACACCATTGAGAGCCAGCTGGGTGTGAAGCACACCATCGAGGACCAGCCAAGTGTGCAACACACCACCAAGGGCCATCCGGGTGTACAGCACACCAGCTGGGTGTGCAGGGGCTCCCACTCTGCTACACTGACAAGGAGGAAACCTGGCCTCTAAGTACAATAAAACAGAGCACAGGGTCCAGACTTCATAACATATGATAACATCTCAAAATTCCAGGCAGATTTTATTTTCACACGCTTGCCCAGTGACTTCAATGTACCTCTGAAGCTTTGTGTTTTCTTCCCTGTGGGGGCTCTGTGGGAAAGGTAGCTTTTATTTATGGGTCCGTCTGCTCCCCTAAGTCTCTCTTGTTCATCTTATCTGGGGAAAAGTCCAGGGATGGAGCGATAGGCCTCTTGGGTAGATAATAGGCTGAAACTGTTCTGACTAAATTAACTACATGACTCCTAAGTTCTACAGCCACCTCTTCCTTACTGACAAGACAAGCACTCCATTTAGAAAAGAAGAAACCACAGCAGGCCCACTCTGCACTAGGCAAGAGCAGACCCCATTTCCTGGAACTTACTCTTCTGTCTCTCCCTGCATCTTCCTTGTGTCTGCTGTAAATCATCCTTCAGATCCAGCTCAGCAGGACTGCTGCTCCTTCGAACCAAGATCTTCAGACAAAAAGAAATGCTGCTTTCATTACCAGAAAGGTGAAACTTTTACCCGACTCTTAAGTTCCTAGCCTATTGTTAAATAAAAGAAGCAATAATAGTAACGAAACACTGAATGGTGTTTTCCTTTTGAAGAATGCATTCACCAGCTAGTATAATTAAGTTATACGTTTCTCAAGATCTGAAACTCCAGTTCATATTTTCTACTGACACAGCTGAATGGATATACCAAGAAGGAATGCCAAATCCTGTGGAAGTGGTTTATTTTGAAGTTCTATTTGCTTCTCTAGTCAAGTGCACACACAGTCCCAAAATTCTGCAGGAGGCCTGAGCCCCCTGTGAATGTTTAGGCAGGAGAAACACATACTCTACCCAGACTTCCAAAGGGCTGCCCAGAACCTTCCTAGTTAATATACTACAGAATCTTCTGAGCACTGGTAAACACGGGGCCTTATGTTAAACACAAAGGATTAAGAACAGGAGGCAACCTGCATCTTCTAGCAACTTACAGTTTTCTTGGAGGAACAAAACATACACAAACTATACAAAATAAAATAATAATGTTCATAAGTAAAATAGCCAAATAAAGCCTGTGAAAGGTATGTAAAATAAAGTGTTACCTTAATCAGTTGACAGTTACAGGAGAGCGGTTCAAGAAGGCAACAGACATGAAGTGGTAGAGGGAAGGCAGGAGGGAACTCAAAGCAGGAAGTACGGACTGGCAATCAGCAAGTTCTATGTGCAGAAAAGGGAGCTGATTATAGCAGGCCATGCAGAACAGCCAGGAGGAGGAGGAAAGAGAGGAGAAACGCAGATTTTGTTAAAGAAGCAGTGGCCAGGGAGCCTGTAACAAGAGGTTTAGAACTCTGGACCTAACACTGACTGCATGAGCAACTGTACCTTATGGACAGTAGCTAAGTGTGCTTAACCCATAACCACAAGGACAGTCCCAGCACTTGTGCCTGTGGTGCGTGCGGGAAGACAGGGCTGCTAATGGAACTGCCAGAGCAGTAAATGAGCAGGGAAGGAAGGAAAGAGAAGAATGCTGCAGTGGAGGACTGCAGCTTTCCACAGCATGTGAGCAAAAGAAGGTTGTCACAGAACCATGAGAACGACGGTGACAAATGAAGGCAGAGAGAAAAGTAGAAAGGACAAATGTTGAGAATTGTTTATGTCTTTAGGCTGAATAGTAAAAGGCAACGTTCATTAAGTGGGGGGGGGGGGAGAATGATAGGACAGAGAAGATAGTCAGGAATGAGATACAAATTCAAGCTTTAGGATATACAACAAAAAAACATACAATCCCCAAAGTCCTGAGATTCAGGAGTCATTTAAAGCAATTAAAAAGAAAGGGAGAAAATGTATAATTATAGTTACTTGTCTATAAAGAATCATGAATAAAGTATTTACAAAATTCATGGTATATGAAAAATTATTACACAGCCTTAATAAACAGTGATTTATATCAAATGATCCAAATAGAAATAGGCTCATCTTTCCTTAACTACAAAGTAGAATGTTTTTGCTTCCAATGTTGGGGAGACAAGATGCCCTCCAAGTGTAGAAACTCATGACACTTCATTTGCACACTGGGGCTCACAGGAAGCAGATCTTCATGATCCCTATGCTGTCCTCTTAGGAGAACAGAAGGAACAGAGCTCAGGGAAATCCAATGACCTATTGTGTAAAGTGAGTGCTATCATTGCTAGTGGCAAAGGACTGAGAAGCAGGATCACAGTGGCACTTCCTGATCCCTTGAAGATGAAAATACAAATGCTGTCCTGAAGAGTCCTTATCAGTTAGACACTCTGGGTTCCCACAGATTCCATCAGCCACAAGAGTAACTCACAAGAATCAGCAAACAACTCGGGAACAAACCACCATAAGAGCAGCAAAAAACTCCAGACAGAATTAGACTCCAGAGGATTGCAGCAAATCAGATAGAGAATGTTGAATTAGGATTTGTGAGCATTTTAAAGGTGTAAAATATGAAAATAATAAAAATGGCCAAATAACAAGATATACTTAAAAGAATACATTTGAACTTAGAAGCGAAAGTACACTTGTGAGGTAAAAAAAAGTAACAAAACACCACCTCAACAGAACCTTGAAAGCCCAAACCTCCTCCAAGCAGAGAAACAGATCCATAGGAAACTGCTTGCATTCTGAAACTCACAGGAAGTACCTCCAAAGCTATCTCCTAATGTCAGATTGACTGACCTGGTGAAAGACAGAGTATGTCCACAGAGCCAAGGAGAATGGACAATATGAAGAAGCTTAGGAGACAAGAGGGGCAGGATAAGCCAGTCTAGTATTATTTCTATCTAAAATTCTGGAACAAAAGAGAAGATTGAATCAAAGGTGACTATTTGAAGGAATGATTACAAGATTTCTCCAAAAGAACAGAAGAAAAGTAACCACAGATGTACAGACATAGCATATACCAGAATGGGCAAATGCATATGCCAAATTAAATCTATACCTAGCAGTCAAACTTAAAATCAAGGACAAAGACCAGCAAGAAACAACCAGACAGGATGGAGAGAAGGCATCACAACAGCACCAAGGAAAGACAAGAGTACTAGAAAGAAAAACTACCTTCCATTAGAAGAGGCAGAGAGGAGGAGAAGGAAGCAAACTGTGGTAGTTAAGATGCTGTGGTTCTGTTCAGAGACAAAACACCTGAGGAGCAAAATCAAGGCTGATATGTCCAGGAAACAGAATATATGACAGAGATGTGGCCTTTCAGATAAAGGAAAAACAGATTCAATAAATAAGACCTCAGGCTAGGCGGTGGGGGGGGGGGGCATGCCTTTAATCCCAGCAGTTGAGAGGCAGAGGCAGGTGTATATCTGTGAGTTCGAGGTCAGCCTGGTCTACAAAGTTATTTCCAGGACAGCTATGGCTGTTACACAGAGAAACTCTTTCTCAAAAAACCAAAAATAGAAAATAGATAGATAGAGAAATGAGACCTCTAACAAGCATTTGGGAGAGGGGTTGGACCATCCCTCCTTCATTAATCAAGAGCCACCTCCAGGAGAATAAAAGACTTGAAAGTGTGGAGCAAAAGTGAAGCATTTTATAGAATAAAAATAAGGGAATAATTTATCCTTTTGTAGCTGGAATGCTTTAATCCATAAAATTCTACCATGATAAAAAATATAAAAAAAAAGAAGGATATGTATTTACCAAAGACACCAGAGTGAAAAACAGCCACACACAGAAGATGTCTGTTACAAACATAATCAAAATAAAATCAGTAGTCAGTGACTATTCAGATACAAGTAAAAGAAAGGAAAGTAAATGACAAAAGCCATCAACTTGCCTTTCACAGATGAAATATAAACAATCAACATGAAAGCTTTAAACCTTATTAGCAATCTAAGAAATTCAAATAAGATATCCCACTTCCATGTGGTTGACCCGCAAAAATTTCAAAAGTCTGACAAAAGAAAGTGCTGGTGAGACTCTTTACATTGCTGGCAAAGATAAAACAGCTACAAACATTTGGGAAAGGAGCATTCTCATGTAGAGAAGAACAATCTTTGTATAATTTATTTGTCTATGGCTAGACAGTCACATAGAGAAACATTTGAACATGGAGAGATATTGAGGAAAGTCTGAGAAAGTCCACGGCTATATCTTTCAGAAAACTAAAATACTGGAAAGAATCAACAGAGGAATAGAAAAATAAGTGATATATTCATACTGGAATATCACACAGCAGAGAAAACTCAGATGAATCAAGTACTACAAAATACCATGTGGATATTCTACAGACATACAACTGAGTGAAAAAAACAACAGTGCCCACACAGATTTCAGAAACTTCAGAAACTAAGTAATATATTGTTTGGAGCCACATACATGTGAATGTATGTAAAACACAGCCAACACCATGCCACTGTGAAGGGAGGCAAAAGCAAAGGACTAAAAAACAAAACAAAACTGGTGGCCAAAGCAACAGAACCAGAACTGTTCTGGCGCTTGGGCAGGAATGGGTTCATCTGGATCTGCTTCATTACGAAAAGCAAGATCTATACAGAAAAGCTGATGCGTGTCTTTCTGAAACCCAAAAACACAGGAACTCAACTCTGCTCTCTTCCAAAGAGGTGGGAGCAGGGAAGGAACTCGTTTGTTCTATATCTAAGCTTTCTATAAATATATACTGTTTTAAATCACAAACAGAGGTTTATCTGAAAGAATGAGTTATAGGCCATTTCTTCTTTATGTTTTATATTTTGTTTTTTTAAATAAATGTCTTTTTTACAAAATAAAAAAAAACACAAAATCTTTAGGAATACTGTGTCAGGTAGGGAATCTAAACTGAAGAATTTACAGGCAAGTACACCTGCTCAAAGTGAACTGGACAACATGAGACCAGCCAGTAAATTCTATTTCATGCTACCTCACCCCCATTTTTGTAGAATGACTGTATTTTACACAGAAAGCAAGTACAACCTTAAGTGACTTAAAGATTATTTGGACCTATAATCAATCTAAATGGGAAAATATTAAAACTATCAGCAAAAAATCCATTATTATGGTATAATTTATGCTTGGTTATAGCAACAGAGAGATTTTCTCTAGGAAATCTTACTGTTATTCCTTCATGTTCTCGTTTCACATGTTCCTTACTCTCTTGAAGAGACTTGGGTTCTGAAGAGCTCAAATTCTGTGAATTTTCTACCTTTTGACCTAGAGATAGAAGTAAAAATGATAAAATGAATGTTTTGGAGGGTAAAATAGGAGACAGACAGACAGACATGTAAGCAGGCAGGCAGACTGGCAGAGGCAGAAACAGATAGATAAACCATGCATCTAGATATCATAGGCTATACACATGAATTATGGGTCTGCAGCATCTCCAGCCCCAATCTACACAGAGACCTGGTCTATAGCCCACAGATAGCTTCAGTTGGAGCAAATGGAACACTGTTCACTGTGGCTCATAGGGGCACTTAGTCCACTATGCTGGACAGGGGCATATGACACATCACCCTGGGGAGGTGGGCTTGGGGACGGCATCTGACAAAAGATCTGCCTGGGTTGGCCTGTGAAGCAACAGGAAGGGAACAACAGGACAGCTCTGGGTTGCCTGAATAGAAAGACTAGCACGAGAAAGCAAAAACAGCTTCAACGATTTAAAAGGGGATACTGCCACATAGCCAGCAAAGATTTAAGAAAAGATCATAAAAGCATCTGAAGAACAATCTGCAGCCAATAAATTTGAAAGAAATTAACAAACAGAACCAGTTTCTAGAAAAACATCAAAATCAAATTCAGAAAATCAAAGTAGTATCATAGTCCTTTAATTTAAATTTTTACTTGGCAAATAATGCATGTTTATCTTATATAACACGCTGTTTTGAAATCTACATACTTATATAAATCATCTTAAGCAGCATATGTACTATGACACACACCCACATGGGCAGAGTACTTGTCTCCTCTTGGCCAGGCATAGTGGTACATGCCAGTAAGCTAGCCCCCAGAGAACAGGGAGTGTACTGCAAGTTCCAGGCCAGCCTGGGCTAATGGAGACGCTGTTAGAAACCAAGCAATGCTTTCTGAGCTCTTCAGAAAGGAAGCACACTGTACTGTGCACTAGAACCCTGGAGCTTTTCTTCTCTCAGGTGAAGTTTGTTAAAATCTGAAAGGATTTGAAAACCCTTTTTATATGAAAACATCAATCAACTGGTGGGTTCTCTCAAATATTTGAGGGATATTTTTTTCTTTGTTTCTCCTAGTAGTTCTCAGAATTAAACTCCTGGACTCGTATATGCTAAACAAGTATTCTACCACCAAGTATATAGCCCTATCCCTAATAATCCACACAAAAGCCTTTAAGGAGTAGAAAATTTTCAGATAATATCTTTTCTCAGCTTTATTTTCTGCTATAATTTCTTATTTCAAGAGGGTTTCTAAGGAAAAGTTTCCCTCCTCGTTTGCTGACCCTGATTATTAGAAGACACAGGATAACCTGTTGATAAACAAGGCAGGATGTTTTCTGAATGATTCATGGAAATAAAGTGACTGACCTATGGAACTAAAGGCAGCACATTTACTGACGCTGTACACGTTGAAGAGTGTTTTTTCACTATACAATACACTACTCTCTGTCTGCAGCTTCAGTAACAACTGACTCCCTCCTCCCCTTCCACAACCTGATGCTGCAGAAAGCTAGACCAACCCAATACATGTTCTAGGGATTTTTCTGACCTCAGTGAAGCCTGCGAGTTGCTAATAAACTTTCACACAGCTGGTCAGCCTTCGTGCCCACTTCGACCCTTCAGCTCTTCCCAATGCCTGACCCTCAATGCCTCTCGTGCTTCCTACTGCAAAGTTTCTCCACTTTGGGAACTCTCTGTCTCTCCCTCTCCAGCCACTTCAGACTCCTCTCTAGTTTCCAGTCACGCCAAACTTGAGGAGTGTGTATCAGATAAATATGTTAAATAGGAAGAGTTTCACTTCCAGAAGTCACATTTTTACAGTCAAATGACAAGGTCACTACCTGGGCTGGGGAGATGGCTCAATGGCAAAGTGCCTGCTGCACAAGCATCAGGACCTGAGCTTAGATTCCCCAGGCCATGTAAGAAGCTGGATGAGGCAGCATGGGGCTGCAACCTGGGGCAGAGCAGGGGGAGGTAAGAGGCTCCTTGGAGCTCACAGGTAAGCTTTCACACTAGCGAAAAGGTCTACTTCAAAATAAATAAAGAAATAAGTAAGTTGAAAGCCATCAAGGAAAGATAGTTCAGGTTAACCTCTGGCCTCCAGACATATGCACATATACACACACCCACACTAACAACACATACACAACATGCAAGACCCCTTCTTCCTTGAAGCAGATATTTAAATAAATGTAATAAGCAACACCACCTGCAGCTTACCCCTATCCCAAGCCCACATCTATAGCTTTCACTAGTAACTGAGGACTCAGTCAGCACCAGGGTAACTACTCCTTGTACTTGGGAGGCAGAGGCAGGAGGAAACTTGTAAGTTTGAGACCAGCTTCATCAACAAACTGAGCTCCGGGGTATGGGAGGAGTGGGGGAGAGGGAGGGAGAGAGAGAGAGAGAGAGAGAGAGAGAGAGAGAGAGAGAGAGAGAGAGAGAGAGAGAGAGAGAGAGACCCTGTCTCAAAATCAATCAGTGGATCAGACAAACATTAAGATCCCACATACCTTGAGAAGAATCTGAGCACAAAGGCTCAGTGATGTCAGAGGTGCTGCTGCTCCGGGGGACCTGCTGCTGTCCCACCACAAGATAATCAGAGTCGGCTGTGGGTGTACTCTCTGCCTGCTGGAATTCCTCCACTTCTGGAAGCATTAACACAAAACACAGGACTGTGGTTGGCGATTTTTTAAAAAGCATTTCACACTTAGCTGATTTAAATTAAGTTTCATATAGTTTTTAGAAGCCAGGCTACAGTAAAATAATCTGCATGCAAGTCACCAAACATCCATATTTATTAACACTAAGATTCCGCTCCATGATATGTTTTTCAAGCTACAATTAGCCTTCTGTTTTCCAGGTGAAGGAAAAAGGGTGAGGGAAGAAAATCACACACACATAAAAAAAGGTCAATAACTCTGAGTCATTTGAAATTTCCTAGCAGGAAGGGTAACTCAGCCATGTTGGAAATGCATAGACAGATAAATAATACTTGAGAAAGCACAGTTGGAACCCCCCAACATTAAATAAAGATGAAAGGAAACAGGAATTCCAACTGTACTGTTCCTTCTAACAGCTAATGCACAACTGTGCAAAATAAAATGCTATTTAAACCTCATATTACCATGTGCAGATCTGAACTAGTCACTAAGCACAAAAATGATCCACGTGGTATAAAATGGAAAACCAAAGATAATTTTGCTAATATTTTACATCCTCTATTTCCCTGGAGATGGGTTCCCTTCTAGCTCATTTCTAAAGCACAGAGTTCATATTAGGACCAGCCACAGCACCCTACCCACTCACCCTACCACTCACCTGAGATCTGTAGACTCAGGATTGCGCCATCATCTGCCTAGATCATCAGAAAAGCCTGCTAACTAGCTACTGTCTCCTTTCTGCTATTCTCTACATGGCTGTCCAAGAGGCCCCTCTAAAGTGAAGGCGCAACTGTGTCTGCCATTAGTCCACCTGGCCTGTCTCAACTCTACTTCACAAGTTGCTCCCCAATCATCATTTAAGAGCTCCCTCTCTCTCTAGTCCCAGCAATATTGATCCTCTTGGCTCCTGCTGTTCTCTCTCTCTCTCTCTCTCTCTCTCTCTCTCTCTCTCTCTCTCTCTCTCTCCTGCTCTTCAGTCCCCTCTGCTAATCTTACCCAGGTCCCCTATCCCTCACTGTAGTGCTGCACCAAGTACAAACCACTATACTTCTTGCTATACATTCAGCATGCAAAGTCACTGCTCAGTTCTACACTAGACTCCAAACTCACTGATGCTATCATAAAATTTCATATCCCTACACCCATATCACCATATTTTCCAAAAATAAAAAATTAAGCAGTAAAAGTTTTACTACTTTTAAGAAGAGAGTTCTCAAAACTTAATCTATATTATCTAAATTGGCTATGTCACTGGTTTCTCATCTGGAATGGAGATTCACTGCCAATACAGCTCATTCACCTGGACATAACCCACAGTAAAGGCTCACTCCAGCTAAGGAGATGTGCGTACACAGGATGATTCTGAGTTTAATGTATGGGATTTCCACAAAGGTTGTTGCTCTGCTTTTTCCTTCCCAAATGAAAATTCTGTTTTCTACTACACTAGTGTAATTACAAGGCTCAAATCTATGAGCTTTGTGTGAGTCATAACTATGAATCAAAGTTCTATCATCTTAAAACACAGTTTAAAGATGGATGCTTAATGGGAACCTGAGAGAACCTAGGCTAAGAGAGCATGAAGAGACAGTTTCATCTTTCCCAGGCCATCTCTGCCTACTGCTTCTCTTGAGCAGCAAAGAACTATTCACTTTTTCCATAAAGGACACGCAAGGCATATGTGCACATTTTAAGTCTACCTATATATCCCAGAGCAAAGACTAGGCTCTTTTTGCAAGTCTTCTAGACTCTTTAGCATCAGGCCCCTCAACACTATGGGACCAGCTCTTCTAGTTACCTTTTTATTCTAATTTTGCAAGATGGCTAAATGAAGATACTGTATTTGTCACTCCTGTATCAGTAGAGGGAGCCCAAGAGCTTCCTAACAATCTGAGAAATAATTGGCCAGGGCCCATTTTTGTGGACAAAGGGAGGAGTGGTTTTTTTTTTTTTTCTCTTTTCTCTGAAGCCTGGTGCCAAACACTAATGGATGCCAGTTTCTGGGTTCTGAGCAGAAGTAAATAAGAGCTGAGCCAACACTGGCAGCATCTTTCTAAAGATAAAGAACATCGCCATCTGGCGGGAAGCAACACAGCCACAGCACCATGGCTTCCAAATTAGAGTGTCCCCACTGGTCCTCAACACAGCAGACGGAGGACAGGAGCCTGCTACCACCAGCTGTCTGCCTTCCCAACAGGCGGGCCTAATACATCTTTTAAGGCTTTGTTTTTGCAAAACTGTTAAGAGGGACTTCTCAGATGGAGATAGTCCAAGGCTGTAGAAAGAACCGGAAATGGCAGTGATGGAAGAATGAGAGACTAGAGTGGAAAAAAGAAGACAGCCACATACCTTAGCGTTCTGTTAGGGTCTACACTTGAAGTTGACTGTCAATTGAGAAAATGTGTAAAAAAGAATTTACAATTATTCTTATGTCTTAATATAAATCCAATTCGCTGATTTGAAGTTGCACATTTCATGGACTTTTGTGTGTGCCACACTATCTGTATAGAATAAGAGCTCTATGCAAATGGATAAGAGAATGACACTTGAACGCCTTTTCCTTCCTAACGGTTCTTGAGCTCCCTCTGCTGACATGTTGTTGTCGAAGAAAGCGTTGGGCTAAGGCTGCTCCCATTCTACTGTGTCCTGATGAGCTGCTCTTTTGTAACTAATGAAAATGATTTTAACACTGGTATAAAATAGAAAGGCTTGGATTTGTCTGTCAAACAGAAAAGGAACATCTGAGTTACATAACAATTGTACAATAAATCTCAGATTCGATGCATCCTGTTTCACATGTCACACAATTTCTGTTTCAATCACTTTGAAGTGCTGAATTCTGCCTCAGAGTCTAAGTTCATTTATCTTCTGTGAAGTCCAATAACACCCAATTTAAAAGGACTAACTTTCCTGTCTCTTGAGGATGTAGTTACTCAACACCATCACTAACCCACTGTTTTCTAAAGCTCCATTGAAAACATCAGCAAAATGATCATAAGGACCGCTTCTCTTCCCCACAAAGAGTCGGCATGACTGAACTAAATGTGCCAGCTCTTCCGTTAGCTTCTATTTTCTCCAGATGTCTGTCTCCTTTTTACTCACTATTTAATTGCAGACTTCCTTATTCCATCTTATTAAATGAAGCAAGGCTCTGTCTCCAAAAAACAAAATACTCTTCCATTTAACTCCTGCACAAAGCTGCACAAGCAAAATTAGAACGTAAGGTCCTAGCTTGAAAAACACCAATCATGAAGCCAACTTGCCTTCTAAAAGCTCAGGAAACTAGCTATTTATCACCTTAGATGTCCACAAGGTAAGCTTCTGAGAGTAAGTTAGTCCAGGTTCTAACAAGAAGCACATTCATGGAGCGTATGAACAAGGCACAGAAGCATCTAAGCAAGGCTTGCCCTAATGTCCCATAGCGTAAGATAAGGGAAGACAGTTAATCTGCTAGTTATAACCATTCCAATACTCCCCAAAGAAAAAGAAAAATCTACCCTTGTGTAGCATGAAAGTACTATAGATTGATCAATGCCCCAACACAAAAAGCAGATAACAGTGTAAGACAGAGGAGAGGGACTGTTCTCATGAACGAGAAAGAGGACTCCCCAGCCGGCACGCCTACTTCCCAGGGGCAAGTTTGTTTCTCAATGCAACTACTCAGATTAATGGAAGTGGGTTTTTTGATTCTCCTGAAATTCAAATACCACTGCTTTCTGCATCTCCAAATCTGCTGCTATTGGTTCTATTATTATAATTTTGTTGGGATGACAGCTCACACAGATTAGAAACCAAAACAAGGACCACTGCCATCAAAAAAAAAAAAAAAATTAGCAACCACTGAAACAGTAAAACAAAAAGAAAAGCAAAAAATGTTTAACTTGTGGCCAGAAAGGAAAATTAACAGATCTGCTTGATATTTAGCTACAGTTTAGAAGGAGATACCCATCCACTCAGAGATAGGCCAGAACTCACTCAGTGCTGCAAACTGCCAATCAGGAAGGACATCTACTCCCAGGGCAGTAAAAACTTGCCTTGGCCTAGTCTACTACTAACAGGACAGTCACAAGGGACAGCGATATCAATGGAACTAATAAAGGAAGCCAGGGTCAGACTGAGAAGACATTCCCTACTGTAGCTGTCAGATAAAATGGTGGCACCAGTGTCTCAGAGTTGCCCTGCTACAAAACCAGGAGTGAAGATGGCAAAGACAAGAAACCTGGTCCAGCCTGCTCCACTTTACACCCCTACAGGCTTTGCTATATTTGCATGATTGGAATTTGAGGCTTGACTATCTTCTGGTGTGGGCTGTCTCAGCACAGTATTTAGCAGCATCTCTGTCTTCTACCCTCTACACCAATAGCACCATCTTACTGTGATAACCCAAAATGTCTCCAGATGCTGCCAAATCATCTCTGACTGACAGTTACTGCAGCAAATCACTCAATTTCTGCTGGAGCCATGAACGCACACATAAGAACCAAATATTTGAGTAAGTCAAAAAGCAACCCTGAATAAGAACAAAACATTTTAAAATGAAGCTATAAATAAGAAGGAATTTTTCTGAGAACATATTCCAGAAAAACTAGTGAGAAAAAACCTAAGTGAAAAAGAGAGGAAAGAAAACTAGACTAAAATAAAACTTTTCACATTAAAAGATTTCTTTTTGGTGTCAACCAGCCAAACATATAGCAAATTCTTTCAAAGACCTCTTCAATTACTTAAAAGAAGTACACTTTCTGAAAAATCTGATCCCCAAGCATTTACTGCTCAAGCAGCAACTTAACTGGTGGTGGCCCTTTTTAATGCCATTCTCGCTGTTTTAACATTCAGTGTTCACAAGAGAGTTTTCTAGGCAACAGTATCAGTTAAAAATAACACTTCCCTCCTGGTATCTTATTATGCTTTAATTCTGCTTTGTCGAACTACAATGGTGCTATAGTGTTTATGCTACAAAAACTGTAGTTAGGCCATTCCCAATATTTAAAAATTCCTAACCTACATGTCAGAACTCAAAATGTAGAAGAAATATGAAAACATTTCCCTCTTAATTAAGATCTAGTTCATCTTAAAATGACTGAAAATATCTCTTTGTGGATATAATAGCAGAAAGTAAACTTCTTTTGAGGAGTGACTAGGAAGAACATGAGAAAACTTGCTTTTGCTACTACAACATCCTCCCTTTACAGCTGGCACAGGGTAATTAAATTACATACGGTGGTTAGTACACAGGGTGGCATCTTGATGCATGGACAGTGTGGGCAATGTGACATCAGACCAGGATAACTAGTGCATTTATCTCTCTCACCATTTATTTGACAAGTTCATTCAAAACACCCTACCCTGGCTATGTCAAGATACACAATGGTTTATTATTAACTACATTCATCTTACTGTGCTAGGCACTATAATATCATCAGAAAAACACACACAAGAACTAAATCCAGTTTCAACTGGGTGAAATCTAAGAACAAAAATGTTTTAGGAATTAGCAGTTTAGCTTTTTTCTTGTTGTGTTTTAATTAAAACCTCAATTATCAGCATGAATCTGATAACCAGGAGATTACAGAATTTTTGGCTACCTAGTTGCTACTAAACATTAACTATACAAAAACAACCATCAACATCTTTAAAAATTAACACAAGTGAAAAGGGCAGTCTCCTGAGTGTGACTCGGGGGGAGTTAGGGCAGGAGAGAGAAGCCTGAGGACATGGATGGACACACAAGACAGCATTACAGTACCTGACAGCCTGTGAGAGCAAGAAGAGTAAGAGAGACCAGGGAAGAGAGCGCTCACGGTATGGAGGAGGAGCGGGACGCTTTTAGTGGCAGGCAAAGCCTCAGAGAGGTGGACACAGTTGCTGATAGACTGGCTTCGCTTAGCTTCCAGGAGAGATAAAGTAACATTACATCAGAGCACAGCGAGACCTTTCACCATTTCTAAGTTCTTATGGTGCTGCAATTACTTTAAACATTTAAAGGAAGCCATTTTAAGCATTAAAAAGAAGTCAGTAAAATCAGAGTACTTAATCACAGTCTCTAAATACAGCCAACTTTCAGCCAAGCGCTGATGATGTTTTAGAATGGTTACTCTACACAAAGAACTTATTTCAGTTGGGAATGCTTCATGCATTACCCTTCCTTCTGCTGCTGTATATCAGAGTGTATCTAAATGATGTCTGGGTTGCTTGCTGAAGCACATCCCATTATTACATTTTTAGTACAGTAGTATCTGTTCCTAACGGTACACATACAAAGACCACAGTGAGAAATAGAAAATCTGATCCAAGACAAAACAATTTCTATTAAGCAACAAATAATTCAGAAATTGAATTACTGAGAGCTGACTGTATTTAAAAGCTAACCACTTAGTGAACTAAATGTCACAGAAGTTTGTGAATATATAAATCAGATATTTTATTAGATATCTATGGAAACTCTTTTTATATTGTATTTCACATTTAATAAGCCAAAGTTTCTCAACTTTCAATTTTCTCATACATTGTTGGTTAAATAAACATTTAATAAAAACAAAGAGAAAGAGAGCGTACTTCAAATTAATAAAATCGAATCTTTCCTTAAAATCAAAGTACAAAGGATTATTTGTTATATTATTATTTTATGTACCTCTATATGTGAAACAAAACTATACACAATAGTGGCACACTTGCAAAAACGGAAACAAACTTTTAGCTTTGTCCCTTCCCCTATTCTTTGCTATCAGCATCTCCAGCAATGAGATTATTATGTAACTCGTGTGTGTGTAAGATAATATGTAAAGGGCAACAACCATGTAAACGTCAAAGTATAAAAGATTTGTTTATCTCAAGATATGGGCAATATTTTATTTGAGCACTTTTTAAAGAACTTTCCCTTTATAAATCAAATGATTGCACATTTTCCCAAAATGGATCACCATGCATTTTAAAAATGTAAAATACTGGCTGTTTTATGTGGCAATTACGACTGACTTTGATCACTATCAGGTTATAATCTGGATTTTCACCATCACTGACACCCAGGGCCAGAGTTATCTTTCCATGCCAGGCTGCTTCAGTTACACTCTGGTTCTCTGGTGTCACCATAGCTGCTTTAACTAACTGAAATCTGTGGGGTGAATCGTTATGTGAATATCTTAACCCGCTCTTAATGAGATGCAAGAAACAAAGTCACTTTTGAATGGCTATCCCACAATTACTGCTAATTGTTACTAACTCTCCCTAAGAACAGAGAACTATTTCAGTGAACTTCCACACTTAGAGAAACTCCTCTATACACTCAGACTATAGGGGAAACACTCTGGACTTTGTTAAAAAGTAAGAAAAGAAAACTAAGTAAAATTACCCATGGATAATATTAAAGTCTTATTAAACTGCAAGGAATACAAAAATCTTCAATGACTATTAATAAGTAACAACTGATTCACAACACTTAGCATTTTAAAAGATATAAAATAGGAAATGCATCTATATGCCTGCATACATGTGTATATATAAAGCATAAATATAATAGACTTGTATAAACTGACAGTTTTCATTGTCTTTCAAAAATAAAACAGATCTAGGCTTTTAAAATTTAGTTACTTCTATAAAAGTCAACCTTAGAGTTTTAAAGTACAAATTCCACAAATATCTTTACAAAACTTTTGGAAAATGTCCAATGTCACATGGCCCTTCAAACACCTGAGAACATTTTGAAACATAGCCTGCCTTTCCTGATTGTTTTCTAAAACATGCTGGTGCTTCTACTGTACAGTTAGTTTAAAATACCTGGTGGAAATTAAGATTTATGGTATCATATGGAACATGCATGCATCTGCTGCTGACCAACGCGTATAAATAAAAAGCAGTGTGTGGGGATTAGTGCTTATACTTGGAATTCAGGGGTGCGAAGGCAGCATAAGCACAGCTTGAGAAGGACGCTGCCTTTACCACATGCTTCTGATCGCTGTCACTGAAGGGTTCCATGACGGCAGGGAAGGCTGTAGAAGTTGAACTGAGACAGGAAGTCAGTGGGCATCCTCAGTGCTGAATGTTTTTTGAAACTGAGTTTCGTTTTAGGAGACAGAATGAAGGAAAAGAAATAGAATAGGTGGTGGAGACAATTAAGAAGACTATTACCAATAAATGCTAAGGGATAAATAATGAGGATGTTACAGGCACTGTCAACAGGATGCTAAACCATCTATATCAGGCTTTTAACAAACAATGAACAAAATATGTTAAACTCAACAAATATTTGTTTTATGGCCTGAGGAACCTATGTAAGCTTTTCTGAAGCTGTTGACTTCCAACTCTAATTGCATGGTGCTGCTGATGAGAGAAACTGTAAGAAACTGAGATAAAGGTGGTTTCAATCCTACATCAGAGTACGAAGGGAAGAGAGAACCTTATAGCCTTTGTTCTGAATATCAGCTTCCCTTTTAAAGATTTGTCTCTTGCCATAGTAAAATGTAACAAAGCTGTCTGATCACCCTCAACCAAGTAACAGTACTAGTTCAAATAGACTGTAAAAGCAGCATCTATAGGCATAGGACGTTCAATGTTTTTAAAGAAGTAAAAAGCGAGAATGTCTCCGTTCATTCCTAAAACCAAGTGTCACCCTCCTTTCCTTTGCTGGAACCAGTTATCGCACACTCTACAAGGCGCAGTGCCTAGCAACGGCATCACTGAGGCTACAGGAGCATTTATCATGCTCCCTTCCACAGTAGAGACTTTAGAAACAAATAATAAAACCTGAGGCTTCAGAAGTAAGCAGAACAGAAAGTTTAAAAGGTATTGACAGATTTCATTTAATAAAAGATCTAATATTTAAATTCCGAGTAGAACTTTAAAATACTTATTCCTATAAATTTACTTAAATAGCAATTAGTTTTGTTTAATGATATTTAAGCAAGTATTTACCAGTTGCTTTTTGGCGAACAATATTTCTGGCCTTCTCAACTCCTGGTGCTCCAGATGTGGTAGCACTTCTGAATCTCATTGGCTCTGTCATATCAGGATGGCTACGCCAGCTGAGAGAAAAGGATCTACCCACAGCGGCCCCTTTTTGGGAATCTAGAACACAACCTAATAAAGGGTAAGAGGAGAAAAACAATCAAAAAGCTGAATTTAATGGCAATCATACAATTACAAATTACCAGCAGTAAAGAAACGGCCTACGTACAACACTGCACCAGCAGATCCCCTGCTGCAAATTAAGTCCTGCTTCCTCGTGCTGCAGTTCAGGAAGATACATCAGTAACCTCAAAATATTTGATACCAAAGTATTTTTAATTCCTAGCAGCTTCATGAAAATTGTATCTTCATAGTATTTACTTCCACATGCAAAAGTACGTATTAACCAATCTTTCCCATTGTAAGAACAGTCAGTCATGCAAGAGAGATCCAGAAGAGAATAAAGACATCTAGGCTAGTGTGTATTTTTTTTTTTTTAAGATTCCTGTTTAGTTTCAACTGTGAAAAAAAAATAACTTGTTGCTAAAGCAATGTTAGAAAATTACTGCACTACATAGACTAAATCTAAACTAGGATTAAGCCATTCCAGTGGAATGCTATGAACATAAGCTATTTTGCTTCAGCTTCTAGCTGCTTTTTACTAACTGGGGCTTTGGCAAACCATTTTCAGACGTCAATAAACACATTGTAAGCCAGCCCCTAGCCCATGTATATGGTTAACACATCGCTAGAATTAATTCACATTTCCCTGTATCCACATCCTTTGTTCTCATTGACTCTGGATTTCATCATACTTTGGTAATAAAACTAAAGAAGTGAGACCTGAAAAACCTACTTCTGTAACGTTGTATTAACAAGCACATGCCAATCTGCTGGATGAAGCACGTAGCAGAGTCACAATCACTGCCTTGGCTGACAGCCAGTCAGTTCCTAGAAGCAGAGCAGCCTAAGTGGCCACAGCACAGAGTGAATCAAATGAAAACATGCAACCCAAGGTATCAGCTCATAAAATCAGACTAACAGTGACTATGTAAAGCTAGCGAGCCTTGGAGTGATTTGTCACATAGCAAAAACTAACTGATACAGTCTACAATAAGGTTATTATTACTAAAACATAATCTGTTGTGACCATGTGTAACTTGACAAAGCTTTGAAGGAAAGATGCCTTCCAGGTTCCAGAACCAAAGGAAGTTATTTGTCATCCAAGGAAACCCATTGTTTTTACCTCTGCACTCTGATTCTGTTTGATATAACCCTGAGAACATCAAGGTCATATCCAAAGTCATCTCCGCATGTTTCCCTAGCAAGCCCATAGGCTCCATAGAATGCATTCTAGCATTTAACCATACCCGCAGCTCCTTCCCACTTTATCCTATTTCCTTTTCCATTTAATATGTACCATACGCGTCTGAATGAGCAGCTCTAGTCTGCACAGTATAACTGGAGTAGACAAGTTAACTCAAGCACTACACTCCTTAGGAACTGTAATGAAGACAAGGGGATACCAACTGCAATCTCCAACAGGAACTTCCACTGTTTAATAACTCAAAATTATTACTTTTACTTCTGAAAACAGCTTAATAAAGCACAATAAAGCCAAGATGGGTCCAATCTCAAGCACTTTGAATTCCTCCACATTTTCCAGGGAGGCAGCAGAACAGATCTGAGTAGTACCTTGGGCCTGACTTGACTAGCTTTGATGTCAATCACTAGAAAGTCTTTGTATTTTGGGTTTTCTGTCTGTGACACAGAACTATCTAAAAGAGCTTTCATAATGATGAAGTCCATGTGCAAAGCACTGGTCATTGCTACTCCTGTTATCAGTACTTCTCTCTCATTTTTCTTCTTCCACAGTCTCTTTAGATAGTCACCAGTTTTAGTATTTAAAAAGACATGATGCAGCAGGGCGGTGGTGGCACACACCTTTAATCCCAGCACTCGGGAGGCAGAGGAAGGCAGAGCTCTGTGAGTTCAAGGCTAGCCTGGTCTACAGAGCAACTTCTAGGACAGGCTCCAAAGTTACACAGAGAAACCCTGTCTCAAAACACCAAAGACACTATGCAGCTAGTTCAGCTCATTATGAAATACAATGCATTAATGGCTTGTGTGTATAAACACCACTGCAGCTGTCCTAAAAAGCATAAATACCTTTGCCACGCTGCTTCTTCTCCTTCTGTTCACTTAATTTATCTAGAGGTAGGTTTGTCATCTCAACTCCGTACACAGTCCTTGCGAGCACCGCTGTCAAAGAGTCCATGATGTTGGACCACTCGGTGATGAGCTCCTCCCACTCTGTGAGGGACGACAGCACACCTAGAAAGTCATCCCAAAGCTCCCGAGAAATGTACACGCAGAGGTTTGCTCGGATCCAAGCCACGATAAGTGTCTGAAACCAACCAGATAGATGATTTTTAACAAAAACATTAATATCCTTTCATTGTTTTTCTTACTTTTGACCAACCGTAACGAGGATTTGAATTATGTTAGATGAATTATCTGAGGAAATATTATTCTAAAGTGCATGTCCTGTGCTGCTAATATAGGTAAGAACATAAAACCCTTTGTCCAGTGACTACTCAGCTTCTGAAGGCGGCTCTTTGCCATCACCAAAGAGGCTACGGCAGACATCTTCCTCTATGTGTAATCTTCTCAACTTGAGTACAACATGACTTTGAGCAGCTGGGCTTGATACAGAATCAAGACAACTCATTAAATGAGGCTTCCCTTTGACCTCAGTCCCCAATACCTTCAGTCCAACAGTATTTAACCAGCGTCACCTCCATCTGTGCTGTCTTCCAAGGGGGCATTCCTACCCCCACTCTGAGTTCCTTCTCAGAATCCTGTGCTTCTATTAAGCCAAACTATCCTGAGCTACATGCTGTATTTCTTCCTCCTTTTAAAAACCAACACACTCTCTTTGAAGTAGATATTCCCCTCTGCTTACAGCCATTCTCCCTCCTCTATTGAAGTCTAACTTTCCTACTTCCTCATCTCCCAGTCAGGTGGTTTTGAATTTTTCCTTCTGACAGCTCTTCACTTTCCACCTGGGTTTTGGTTATCCATTTCTATGGTTCCCCTTCCTTCTAAATGTTGTGTACTCTTTTGTCTTTATGTCCGGCACAGATCCCTTGGTTGGCTTCCTGATTATCCACCTGCTGTATTCAGGGCAGTCCAAAGGCACTTGTAGCACAACATCATGAAAGAAGTCAATCACTGATTACTAATTTTGATCTAAAATTGGATCAATTTTATTATTAGATCAGTATTTTCTATTATATGAAGATTATTAATTTACTGCTTTCTGGTGATAGTCTTAAACTTTTGAAGACATGATTTTAAAAATGTATAGACAGAAACTGGCATTTTAGCCTTAACAAAAATGCTCAGTAAAATATTAGGATAATAAAACTGACCCAATATTAGATCACTAGATATAATCTTAGTGGAGTAAGAGGAGAAGGCAGAGGCTGTAGAAGTCACTAGAAATCACCTCCCATTATGCTGCAGTTCTGTTAGCAGGAACAAAACCAGATGGCTGTCTTGGTGTAGTAAGACGTCAAAACTGGAAATCACTTTACTAAGCTATAAAAAATAAAGGAATGATGTGGTGGCACTTGGCTTTAGTTCCAGCAGAGGCAGGCTGTAAGTGCAAGACCAGCTTGGTCTATACAGTGAGTTCTAGGCCAGGTGAGACCTCTCAAATAACAAAAAGAAGAGAGAGAGAAAGGGATGGAGGTGGGAAGGAGGGAAAGAAGAAGGAAGGCAGAGGCGAGGTGACTTCTCGCAGTTTAGAGAATTTGTCATAGCCAATGTCACAAACATGTATATGGACCTATAAATCATCAACAAAATTCACAATTGGACATGGGGCAAAATCCTCGAAGCTAGTTGAGGGGGAATGGGATGGAGGAACACAGAAGGAGGACAGCCTTTCAATCGATTACCCTTTTCCAAAAGGAAGTGAGAGTGATGGTCTCAGCACTAGGTTGTGCTACTAACTTGGTTTGAGCCCTGCAGAGAGTCAGCTGGCCTTTCTAGAGTTACACTTCTCATCAAAGTCAAGGTCCCTCAGCACTGACACTCAGTGTTTAATTAGATTCAGCTCAGCCCAGGAACCACGGGAACACACCCCGCCTCAGCGACAGCAACTGATAACCAACCACCTCCTCTCCCCTAACCTCCCCCACTCTCAAGGACACTGAACACTGTCAAGTACTGGATCCTATTATAGACAGGAGAAGCCATGCTTCCTGATCACCTTCAGAACTTACATCATATTGTCTAACTAGGATTGAGAACAAGCTATAACATCACTGGAGGCAATCACCATTATTTGGTAGTTTTTTAAATGAGATAAATTCAACCATCATTAGAAGAAATTTTGTTAACCTAGATTATCTATATAACAGAGGAAAAATAAACACTACCAGGAAGAGTAGGAAAAAGGATAATGGCAACTTAAACTTAATTCTTTACCCTCTACTAGTTCTTTACTATAAAAAACAAAAACACAAATATCTAGCCATTTTCATCTGTACAACAACTGAATTAGTGTATCTTCACTATAATGTGTCACTTAGGGGACAACCATTTCCCTCCTCATATCTCACCCAAGGACATTGGAAGTCAACCAATGATTACAAATCTATAGCACTTCCCATGTTGTCCCCTCTTGACTGCAGAGCAGGCAGGGACACAGAAGATGAGGTGGTGCTCAAGGCCACCAAGCCAGCGATGCCAGGACCAGAGTCACAACCGGGATCTGTCAAGCTCTACGAAGTTCAGCCTTCCTCTACTCTTCCATGGTCAATTCTAAATCTAAGCATCCTTTTTTCTGTACTCATTTCCAAAATGCATTAGAATCATAAGCAATCAAGGGCCAAAAAATGGTACAAGAAAGATCTGATGAGAACACTCCACTAAGGGAATTCTCTCCTGACCCATCCCATCCCAACCCAAACAAACAAATACAAATAACAATTACAGAATAGATTCATTCTTAATCCTGCAACAAACACAAATTCACTTTCTAATTTCAACACACATAACAGGTACAAGGCCAGACAACTGGTGAAAATCAGGCTTGACACTGGCTTTAGCTCATGCCTACTTGACAACCAAGCGCCAGGACTGGGAGCTCAGGTGCTGACAGTGAGATGCTGCGCAGATAGAGCACAGTGCAGAGTGTCTGTATATCCATGCAGGCAGCAAAGTAGTAGCATCAACAAACTAGGTTGGTTTACTACAAACAAAAACAAAACCCATTAGTCAGAGTATAATAACACAAGCATATAATCCCTAGCACTTGGATGACTGAAGCAATAGAATTAAAAGTCTGGGCCAACCAAGGCTCATAGTGAGCCCTGAACTTGAAAAAAAAATTCAAATAAAAATGTATGTATTCTCCCATCACATATACCCATGAGCTGGGCAAGTCAGTCAAAGGAAGAGAGAACACCAGTGAGGCAAGTGAGCACATGCCAATTCCTTCTGCAGCCTCTACACACACTACCTATACTATATAAGTACTCTTAATATGTATCATCCAAAAGCCATGAATGGAGAAGAGAATGTTTCCTTTCTCAGGCATCATTTCAGCTCACGGTGCTCCCACCTATCAGATTACTCAAGGTCAGGCCTAATATAGAAGAATGTCATACATTTCCATAGTTTTGCACACTGTTCTTTTCTAGAAATATTAATGAACTTTATGAACCCTGTAAAAAGCTGTGTAGCCTGAGGCTAATTCCCTGGGCAACCCATCAGCTGGCAGCCTATGTATACTCTTGACCCTGTTCCCACTGGGGCAGAAAGTACTGGTACTTCTTCGGGTCTCAGCTCATACTGAGAGTCATCCAACCCTCCCAGATCCTGAGGTGCTCCTCCCTCTGTACCAATACTTCCTGACCTCTTTCACTAGAACATGGCACTGGCAAGCCAACACTTAAGAATCACCTGCTCAAACCTCACCCTCCAAACACAGCGCCCCTCCAGAGAGTTCTCCTTTCTCCTCCCTTCCATATCAAGAGCTCTTAGAAGTCATATCCACTATTGCTACCTCTACTTCCTGATTCAAGTAGACTTCAATTCTTTGGACATTCTCTGAACATTTTCAACCTCCCACATCTTATCAGATCCAAAGGTCACCTGGCTTTGCTTACTTCCCTGGGCATCTAGAACAATCTACTCTAGCTTTGCCCTCAGCAAACTGGGCCTCCCTGCTCAGTATCTCTGGCTCGCTCTCTTCTATCAAGCGCAGAGAAGCCTTCATCCTCCTATGCAAATGTTCTCTCTCACAGTCACTCCATCCAGTCCGAGGCTTTACATACAGTTACTTGACACAAGGATGGCCTCAAATTTACATGCCGTTTCCATATTTCTATTTATCCTGTAACTGTCAATCTAGCTTTCTCCCCAACTAGGATGTTCAACTCCTGTCATTCTCAAGAAAACCAAGAGGAAGGAGATGGTAGAAAGGGAAGCCTAAAAACCCCAATGTTAACTGTGAAAAACAGAACACAACATTTAGAACAAAGTTAAGAAGGAAAATTTCTAAAAATGCAAAGTTAATTTGATATAACATGTAAAATCTCAGTAATTAAAACTAATTTGCCAAGTCTGCTCTAATTCTGCATTTCCAGTGTTTAATAAAAAAGACTTACCCTGAAAAGCAACCCTGCCAAACTCTGGGCAAACAAGTCCTTTACATGCTTATCCTTTGGCTTCTGCATGACAGCTTCTGTTATCCTGAGAAGGATTTGCAACATCTGCTCCCTGGGCCACCCAAAATAAAAGCTCATATTAGTAATCACATCTCCAAAGCACTTTATAGGTATGGGATCTCTGCAGTCAGCAACACTGATAATCACATATTATCTCAAAGTATTAAAAGTCTAGGTGTCAGTTAGACAATAAGATCATATTTTATCCGCATAAACTACTTTATGTTACCACATTTCTACAAACATGCTTTCTACATCCATGCCAATTGGCAGGATGGCATCTTCCAGACATCTCCCAGCCTGACTTTTCTCTTTGCAGGAAGGAGGAAAAGATAGTTTTCCCCAGTTGGAGCAGCACACCAGGGCACTCACCAAGGGAATAGCTGTACCAGACAGAACTTATTCAGGACTCTGACTTTCTCCATCATTTTGTTACTTAACCTGTAGAGTCCCCCATCTGCCTTTGTAATAAAAACAAAACTGACTCTGGTCTTTCCTATGAGGACACAGGCAGTCAATAACACTGCATGACTGTGGTTCCTGGAGAAGGCAGGAGGAGTTTGGAAAGGTCAGGACTAAACACTGATGGGCAGTGTATTTGTGCCTGGTAGACCTTGCCTAAACCACAGAGCACACCTGGGACAGCTGTGGTCACCATAACTCGGTCACCATTTTCAGTCTTACAGAAGGGGACTTTACATAATAGGCTTAAAGAATCAACATCAAACTGCTAATTATGACCATTGGTGTTTAAAACAGCAGAAGTTCATTTTTTCTTTCTTACATAGCCAAGTTATGTTTCTCATACCCATGACTATATAGGGATGGAAAATATATTATCTTCTGAGCAGAGAAGAAGTTCATGCATTCTCTAAGGAAATCACTCTGGTTCTTGTAAGGTTTTGAGACCTAACCATTTATTCACTTGCACTACTTTCTTCTTGTTCTTCCTACTCTCTAGTGAAAAAAGGAAGACTATGACAGAGCAGTCTGGTTCAGGTCAGACAAAGGGATCTGTGGTTTCTTTTCTCCTGTGTCTACGCAGTGGACTGATAATGCAGAATCTCAGTAACCTTCTCGTGGTATAATGACCTCTGGGAATTTACTATCTGCTCATTTGGTATCTGACTCCATTGGGCTTTTAGTCCCGGGTTTACTAAAGTGTTAACATTATTCTCCCAGCACTCTATGCCATCTGTTTTGCACTGTTTACAGACACTGAAATATGAAGTGGATGATATTTTGTTTGTGCTCTAACAAATAAACCTTGCCTGAAAATCAGAGGGTAGAGTTAGCCACTAGTTAACCATAGAGGTCTGGAGGTCTGTACAGACAAACAGAAAGTGATATGGCTGGGCAGAGAGAACAATATCAGGCAGAAGAGAGGAGCTCAGCCCCATTTCGGCTGAGGAGTTAATAAGGCAAGAGTTGGCTTGCTCCTTTCTCTCTGATCTTTCAGCATTTGCTCTGATATCTGGCTCTGGGTTTTTATTAATAAGACCAATTGGAACTCGTGCAGCAATGGAGGAGGAAGACAAATGCACCATCTTGATCTAGAGACACATGTGCACAGCACAGGACAGCAAGTCTAAAGAGAAGAGAGAAAAGAAATGACAGAGCTGGAGATGGCCTGCCATTCAGTCAGGATACCCAGGCCCCTGTCACAGTGGGGCATGTTATTTAGTGCACCACTGTGTGTTCATAATAGATGCTCGGGAGTTAATTAATAAATGGAAACAAAAGAAACAGAGAGACAGGGAAGGAAAGAGGAGAAAAGAAAGGGGAGGAGGATAAAGAAGGGGAAGGAAACAAAAGAAAGCATCGGTCATTTGGAACTTAAATATTCAGAAAGTCTGTCTGGGAAGCAGACCATGCCCCTTTCTGTTCTCTACCATGTTTAGTTTCTACTTTTACTTATTTCTACAAATGTCTGTTTATACATGTATCTGGAAACCTCTAAATTACTAAAGGGAAAAACATTTGCTTTATTTGACTTCCTAAATTTTCATCAGAATAAAATGACAAAAAAAAGATAATGTTTGCTGTACGATGTATACAGAATTCATCACTTTCTAAGAAAAGAAACAGAGAAATACTATTCACACAGCTGTGGTACAGGGAGCATCATCCAGCTGAGAGCATTTCCCACAGAGTTATTTGGACCACTATGATACGGCTGGGTTTACATCACACTGAGCATGGGTGTAATGTTTCCAAACTTACAGCACTTGACTTGGTAAGAATACTAATTTAAAGACCTTGTTATTTATACTTTCAAATCTTCATTTTGATATTTGTGAACTTTTTATAAGGCAGAATTCCTCTGGGTCCACCCTTCCCTCCTCTTGGTGGCCTATGGTCTCTAATACCTCATGCTTGCCTTGTTTTTAGGGTTTTCCACCTACTGTGGATAGACAACAGTACTGGCTCTAGGGCATCTATAAAAGAGGTCCTAGAAAAGTTTCTACAGCAGAAAGGATTTCCCTGCCACAGAACCGCAGTAGCCGCAAAGCTCTAGAATGTGAGATATAAGGGCACCTGTAGTAGTTTTACAGGTGGCTAAGTAATATGAACATACTAGGCAGACCCAAGAGGCATTTCTAAAACAGGCTACATGTGAAGACAAGGGGGAGAAGACATGGCTCAGGCCTTGCTGGTCTATCACTGAGAACACTGAGGGTGATGTGGAGTTATCCACTATAGAAGACAGGCATGGAAAACATCTAACACATTTTATCTTTAAGAACACAATTAAGAGAAAAACAGCAAAAGAAAAAAAGGGAAGGAAAAAAAACAGTGAAGACATACTTTTTGACTGTACTTTTCTGTCACTCTGATAATGTATTAGTTAAAAGAACTGTTGTGACAAAGTGAATTTAAAATACCAAGTTGAAGGAATAAAACTCAAGTTTATAGCACTTCGGGACAACAAAAACTTGAGCTTATAAAGAATCATATTACAAAGCACACACCATTTATCATAAAACTGTCTGATAACAGTTTAAAATGGCAAACTCCACTACTAAGTAATGTAACACTAACTCCTATTCAAGAGCATTTCTACAAACAGTAATGGAAATAAATGAATTATCCAAGTGCTGGGCAGTTAGTTCCCTTTGCGACAATCCATAAAAGCTGCCAAGGGGCGGCTGCTTATCTTGTTGCCAGTTTTGTGAAGACATTTGGTAAATGGAAACCTTAACACTTTGATTATACCATAAAGAAAAGGTAGCTGTTTGATGTTAATCTGAGATAAACTTACCATGTCTTTTGATTCATTGTGAGTTCCATTATCATACGCCGAAAAATAATCAGCACAGCCTTGCAAGCATCCACTTGTTCTCTCAGGAGCATGGGGACCTCAGCACATGGCTCCAGCAAAAAGACATTCGCAGCATTTGTAAGAAAGACCTTAAAGCCAACAATTTTACATTAGAAAATACAACTAATCATATGAGCAATGAATCCCTTTGAGTTATTTTCACACTCTTCCAAGACAGCGGTGACACCAATACATGATCCAGGTATTGTAGCTCGCCCCTTATAATTGCCTAGGTAGACACCTAAAAGGCCTTTCTCTATTATTCCATATACGCATTGTTACTTTAGGCATGAGTCATAAAATATTTGAACTTGTTTTATCTTTCAACAGTAATAATAAAACAACAGCAACAATTAGAAAAAAAGAAAAAACAGGACCATTGTGTCAGGGTGAGAAGGTCTGGAATGGACAGAAGGTCAAAGAGGCCCGTGGGTAGAAAACAGTGCTATAATTGTTTTTCTAAGGTGAATTTAAGACATTAAGTTGGAGGAATAAGAATCAATTTATAGTAAACCAAGCTGACAGAAGTTCCTGGCACGGTATATGAAACCTGCTTCCTGATGGAATATTGCAAGTGTCCACAAGAGGCGTAACGACTGAGCGGAGAGGAGCACTGTGCTTGGAAGCAGACAATGCCACATGGTTGATGTTACATCTTCTAGGATCAGGACTTTTCTTTTTTCCTTTCCTCTTCCTCTTCCTCTTCCTCTTCCTCTTCCTCTTCCTCTTCTTCTTCTTCTTCTTCTTCTTCTTCTTCTTCTTCTTCTTCTTCTTCTTCTTTTTTGGCAGTGCATGTGGTATGTGTCTGTATGTTTGTGTTCCTGTGGGAGTGGGAGCTGAACATATGTGCATGTGGAGATCCAAAACAGAAAACTGACATCAGGTGTCTTCTTCACTGCCTCTGCATCTTCTATAATGAAGTAGGGTCTCTCCCTGAACTCAGTTCAGTTTCTGCTTAGTTGGCTAGCTAACTTCTTTCAGGGATTTCTGGTCTCTACTTCCCTAGCAGTAGAATTATAGATGGGCTGCGAAGCCCATCTGGCTTCTCGAAACTTCAGTCCTCACACAGTATAGCAAAAGTTCTACCATTTGCTACAGGGCTTTTTTAAATAGTAGAAATCTATTATGCAGCAAGAAACAATAGTCTCAGCAAATTCATAAGATAAAAGAATATTACAAAGGAACAATAAGAGAGTCAGATGACTATTCTATGCTCGGCCCCAGATCTTTGGGATCTAGGTTCTCTATTCTGTCTCAGTTCTCAGACAGTAAATTGCTGCTTCCTACACTGACGGAACACATCAGCATTCATAAGATGACACCAGTGGCCCATCAATTTCAGATATTCATTGTTGTCAACTTGGTGTTAAAAATGGGTAGGGTTAGAGAGATAACTTAGTGTTTAGAACACTGACTGCTCTTTCAGAAAACCTGGGTTTGATTCTCAGCACCCATACAGTGGCTCCCAACCATCTGCAACTCCAGTTCCAAGGAATCCAATGTCCTTTTCTGGCCTCAGCACCAGGTATGTATGTGGTACAAAGACATATATTTCAGCAAAAGGTACACATAAAACAGATCATGTGGATTCTATCTATCTATATGCATAATCCTTTGTAAGTCTCCTTTAGTAAAATAGTATAAGCAATGAGGTAATGTGAACAAACCCAGCTTTTCTGGAAATCCCAAAAAACCACATAGGTTGACCAGACAGGTTCTAACCAACACACATAAAAAACTGATGACAGCCTTTAAGATTTAACATTTCTAAGATGAAAAAAGTTTCATGTCCCAATTTTATAGGAAAAAGAATCACCAATCACTACCAGATACAAACACAATGTGAATCTAAATAAGGCTTTGAATTAGAAAAAAGAAAACAAAGAATCCTCTGATTAACAAACTAAAGCAGTTTTAGTGACAATGTTCTATATGAGTAAATCACAAATAACATACTATAATACAAAGCCTTTTAATTTAATGTATTGCCTTCAAGAATTTCAAAATTCTACCATTCCTAATGAAAAATCTTCATATACTACACTTTTACTTTTAATAATAGCCTCAAGAAGCTAACACATGAATACTTGTCACTGTATTGGCACCAGTTAAGGTAACACCAAACAATCAAAGTATACATCCAAACTGTACTCATCCCCAGCAGCAGTAGAAGAACACTCTCATTAGACCTCCATCAAGCCCCTTTCCCCAGGAGCAACACTCAAGAGACAAGTTACTGAATACAAGAAGAACAAAAACAGTGTAAATCCTCACTAAGCAACTCTTCAAGCTGTAGAGCTACAGGATGACTGGAGTCCACATGGAGAGAGCTACAGGGACAAAGGGCAAGGACCCCTCTGAGTGACTGTGTCAAGATCATAGGCTATAAGGATGAACTACAGCAATGTTCTCTGTAGCTACAAGAGTAAAATCATCTTTACTCCTTTTTTTTAAAGATTTATTTTTATTTGTTTCTCTTGCTTTCTCTGTGTGTACGTGTGCTTGCACAGGTGTGTGTGTGTGCATATATACACACACGCCCACATAGGAAATAAGGTCTTACAAATTAAAATCCAAATAACTATTCAGATGTCCTCGGAAGACACTTTAGGGTATAAATCATATATACTTCACATTCACTATAAAATAATCATTCTCAAAAAACCTGCAACCAATTCTTACATTTTCTTTTTGACTAGAAAAAAAAAACTTTTCATTTGTAGATGGGAAAAAAAAAATCTTAGAACATAATGGTCCTCTATTGCCTGATACTCAAAATACCAGTGCACTTCATATGACATTACTCTAATTAAACAAAATGTTCAAACTGTCTTCTCCACCAGGGCTGGCTCTGTGTCACTATGGCACCATACCTGCAGCATAGCCTGGGCCCCAGCTTTCACATTTGTGTTGTCCTCCTCTGTCACACAGCCTCTGCTCATGGCACTTGTGAACGAATAGGTACGTCCCCAGCTGGATGACCGTTTGTGGCCAGAACTTTCAGATGAGGCCTTCAGAAGACAATAAAACATTAGCCAAGTATAGAGAAACCTAAGTTTACATACTTGGTCCTTTAAACTCTGCTTAGAACTCAACCTCTACCACCCAAGGTGGCCTCAACCCTTACTGTTTGCTGGGAGAGTCAAGTTTGCCTGATCCTGGGACACAGAAACTGGGCCTCTACACACACAAATTCTACCAGCTCACTGTTGACCTAACCTCATAACTAGTTTCTAAAATGATTTCCCCAATACTAAAACATCAAAACAACAGAATCAATTCAGATATTTAAATTTTTTAAGTCTGTAGCTAAGAATTTTAAATATTCTAAGTTAATTGCATCAGGAAGACAAATGTAATTTGTTTCTTTTGTGTTGGAGGGTGTTCTATACCGTCATTTTAGATTTACTCAGGCCTGAGCCTTGAAGGGGACAGTGCCTCCTGCTGGAAGGCAACACTGCTGACGCACCAGAAGTACTTGCTCTTTACTCGGTTAATCTCTCCAAACATTGGATACAGATTTCTTCTGGACAGAGAACTGCCAAAGACAAGTCTGGCAAAATATTCTATGTTTAATTTTTCCAACAACTATTTATTTAAATAAGCCAAAAAGAGGATAACAGCTTTTCAATCTCACAGAGAGAATTGCAAATTATGAGAAAACATCTGTCTTGCAACAGTGATTAAGAAAGTGGCCATGTTCCTGTGGGCCTAAGCTAAGGGTGAAGGAGAGAACTGCCTACCAAAGATGCAGCATGAACGACACTTCTAAGGCAGGTCCTCACAGAACCAACAGCCTGAGAATGTCTTGTTCCCACCTGTCTTCGTGGGCAGAGTAGGACCCTTGAATGAGCAGGTCTACTTTGTATACAGGTATGTACCCTCAACTCAGAGACTGAGTGATAATGTTACCTCCTTGGAGTCAGTCTCTGAGAGTCCTAATTTGTCAGCATCTTCCTGGGCAACATCCTTTTTATCTGGTTCCTCCATGAACACCGGTTTGTTCTGGAGAATCCACTTCCTGTATACTTGCACTACTTTTCTTGTTACAGATATCTCACAGGAAGGCAACAAAAATGCCTGGAAAAACAAAAAAACAAAAACAAAACAAAACACTCTTTAATGCCACACTCTCAGATCATCATAAAGCCACAGAAATTTCCATTACCAACTTCAGAAACATTTAACTTGTACAGAGACCACATACACACCTTTCTACATACCACTCATCTGGAAGAAAAAGACATTGTTATAATTGGAACAGAAAAATGATGATGTTTCATAGGTTCCTCTATATTCCGGGTAGCTTTAAAATACCTATGCAGGTATTTTAACTGTCTATATAAAATAATTATAACTAAACTTGTAATTTTCCTTTAAAAAAATCAGAAATGGTTTGTAAAGCCAGAAAGAGACTATGGCAGGCATGGGAGCTGACTTCATTACCTGCTCCAGGCTCTGCACTCAGGTGTAGAGTAAAAATGGCCATGGTGGGGTTAGTTAACACCACAGAAGTTGGAGACGGCTACAGATATGGGCTCTTCTTGCTTGTTTTTCCTTTTTCTTCTTCTTCTCTTGCTTCTTTTTCATCCCACTTACGTTCCTTCTTCCCACCTTTCCCCTCTACTTCCTTCCCAGACAGATTTCTGCATTGTCAGAACAAGTACTCCCACATATGCTAACCAGACTGGCCACCTGTAATACTGTGCACATTTGTAGGAACTTAAAAATACTTTCTGTGTGCAAGCACAGACCAGAAGCCAATGCTGGATACCTTCCTTGACTGTTTCAGTGTCTTATTTTATCAGACAGGATCCTTCACTGAACATGGAACTTAGCTAGACTAGCTGACCAAGAAGCTACAGATTACAGATACATGGCACCACATTGTATTACAAGGATGCAGGGGATCTGAGCATTATACTAACGGAACCATCTCTCAGTCAAGGCATTTTTTAATATTAAGGAATCTCCTTACATATTTATAATTTAATGCAAGAAGACAGAAAAAAAATGACTTTGAAGAAGAAATGCATTTGTCTTTTGCATCTCAGATTTAGGGTCTATTTCTGCAATGCAAGGTAGGCAGGAAGGGCTGCCCCCCACCCATATTCAAATGACTGTTTAAATGACACAGACAAGGACAAATGAGCTACAGCAATTCCCACATATTTTTAAAATACCACCCCTAAGTTTCACAACAAAGGACCCAATGACAGGCAGATGTCGCTTCAGCATTGGTGCATAAGATAGAGAAACATCCTGAGGTATCAGCCAGATCACATCAAATTCCAGAGCACAGGCATCCGTGTTATCAAAAGATTACAAAATTGAATAAATCAATATTCTGCCATGTAACTCAATAAACACAGAAATTATGACAAAGTACATGTTTCACTTTCTTCCTTAATTTTATTGCAGAAATATCAAATGAAAAACTTTTTCACTATGAATAGTCATATCCCTATTCCTCTGATGTTATTAGCAATAACAATATTTGCTCTATTACATATTTATCTGCCAACCCACCCCTCTATTTTCCTTCAATCCACTCTATTTCTTATGCACTTTATTGGTCCATCCGATCTATAAACACTTTAGCCCCCAGTCTCTGACTGAAGTCTGGCATTTTTTATTATTGTACATTATTTAAGAAAAACTTTACAAAGAAGGAAATACAGGGGCCATTAAATCAGTTCTGACAAAAAGTAAAAACTCAGTAATCCAAACCAAAATAAAGGAATAGCATACTATCCTCCTCACAGAGAGCAAGAAACAGTTCTTGTATAGCGGAAAATAAAGTGATATA